ATGAAGCTAATTGAGAAAAATAGATCGCTTATAGTCTGTTAGTGATCTTACCACCTCCAGTCCTGTTGAAATGGAATTGCAAGTGGCCTAAATTCTACCTGGTCTCACAGACATGGTTGGTCGTGAACAACTGCATGAAACAAATTGCTTCCGAGTGCAGGGGTCGTATGAGATCCGTTCGAAGCTCCTGAAGGTTATTACCGAACTTATAAAAGCATATCCACTTGATGTTCCTTGAATCGCTCAACGATGATGATATTCCTGCTAGGAAAGGAGCGATCGGAGCACCGGTCTGAACTTCTGGTGGCAGAATAGCCACTAAAGGCCCATCGGCTCCTCTAGAACAGCGTGCAGGTCACTGAAGCGCGCTCATTGTTGGGCTATCCTAAACCACCTCTCTTCATATACTCGGTTCAACGCTGACGCCTCCCAAACCGTTCCAAAATGTTTTTCCTAAATTCTTAAAACCATGCAGGCCTGTATTATACCTCAGCAGAGCTATTGTCATGCCAATACAAAAAGTGGTGACCGACTATCGCCCGGCAGCTAAAGACCTGTAAGCCTCACCAGCGTGCCGTGCAAGGTGATGGAACACATTCTGAAGCGAGCTATCCTAGATCACCTCACTTTTTGCGACCTGATATCTCCAGCTCAATAGGGATTTCTGCCAAACAGTTCTTGCGTGACAAACATGCTCGTGTTTATGGACAGCTTAACCCAAGCAAAGGGCAAAACACTCGTATCGGATGCTGTACCGTCTGACTTTTCAAAAGCATTCGATGGAGTCCTCGCGTCCCGGTGCTATATAAACGCGAATTTTGAGAATTTTTATGAAATATTGTGCGCCATATTCGAACTTTTTTATCAGACGCAACATTTCTAGCGTAAGCAGGCTTGACCTACTATTCCCCAGCACCAGCCTCCATAGGATTTCTTCAAGGCTCCGTTCTGGGACCACTGCTGTTTCTGATACACGTGAACGACCCTCCGGACATCCCTTCAAGTCCATGTCCACTTTTTGCGAACGAATTGAAATCTCGGAGTTCATAGTGCTCTACAAATTGATGTATACGCTGCAACGTGATGATCATTGGACTGAAACTTTCTTCTGAATGACGAAAAGTGTCAAGTCCATCTTTTTGCGAACGAATTGAAATCTCGGAGTTCATAGTGCTCTACAAATTGATGTATACGCTGCAACGTGATGATCATTGGATTGGAACTTTCTTCTGAATGACGAAAAGT